TGAGTCCTATCTGTTTCAATGCCACCTAACAACTACACACAACCCTCAGAAGAGCTCTTAGATGCCTTAGTGAGTTAATACATTGACTGCCAAGCCAAAGGTGGGTGGTTTGGATCCTCTAGTTGCTCCAAGGAGATGGGCAATCTCCTTCCCTGTGGTTTATGTTTTTGTTGTTGCTCGGTGCCATGGAGTCGACTAGGACTCATTGTGACCAAGTGAACAATAGATCTGACTTTGCTCTATCCAGTACCATCCTTCTAAGCCCATTGTAACTGAGATTGTGTAAACCTAGCTTGTTGAACGTCTTTTTCTCTTTCTGTTAGACTCTGCCTGTCCTAGCATGATGTTTTTTCCAGGAACGGGATCCTCTTGAGAATATGACTGACATCTATGTCATGAAATTTCATTTTCTTTGTCTCTAAGGAGCTTCCTGGCTGCACTTCCTCTAAACCAGACATTTTTGCAGGTTTCTCTAGGAGTTTCTATTTTTGTTGTCCATGAGACATTTAATACTTCCCACCAACACCACAATTCAAAGACATCAATTTTGTGATGTTTAACCACTGAAAACCTGATAGAGGGTCAGCTACATTTTGCTTTTGCCTCTAAAGGAATACGTTGTATCTCCAAGAACCTATGATAGTATTTTCTTGACAACTATATCATTCCATTTGTTTGATATAATTATGCATATTTACAAGTAGCAATCTTGGTTCCCATTATAATGTAATATTTCTACAGATACATAAATGGTAGATATAAACATGCACTTTTACAGCCTAACATTTTTTTAACTCTATAAAAGTTGTCAGTGATTTCATTTTACTTAGATCCAAAATCAATACGCATTATAAGAAGAGCCAAGAAATGTAAAGACCTGCTTCATTGAGGATAAAGTAAGCTATCAAAGACCTCTCAAAAATGCTAACGAAAAACAATGTTGCTTTAAAATCTTAAGGTGTCCTGGATGTAAGCAATGGCATTTTCAGTTGTTTTATAAGCATCTGTAAGTTTGATGAGAAATAAGGAATACCAAAGAAGAAATAATACTTTCTGAGTTGTTTTAGTGAAAAGTACTGAAAATCCTGCAAACTGCTAAAAAAACCAATAAATCTGTCTTTGAAGTAGTATAATCAGGATACTCCTTAGAAACAAGGATGGTGAAACTTCATCTCTCCTCGTTGGCCATGTTACCAGAAGGGGTCAGATCTTGGCAAAAGACATCATTCTGGGGAAAGTAGAGGGTCTGAGAAAGATCAGATTATCCTCAATAAACGAAATTGACACAATGACTCCAACAGTGTGCTTGAGCATGATATGAGACAGTTAGGATTGGAGGAGGTGAAGCCAGAGTGTTTCTTGGACGCAAGGATGGTGAAGTTTCTTCTTGTATATTTTGGTACGTTGCTACAAAAGGCTGTTCCTTGGAGAAGGACATCACACTTGGAAAGAAGAGGAAGACCACAGTGACTGCAGCAATGGGCTCAAGTGTGTCAGAGATTGCAAGGTTGGCATAGGATGAGATAAGTTTCAGATCTGTTTTTCATAGCATCCAATCCTACACAAATGCAGCTTTTGAGTTTATGGACAGCTATCTTAAGTATTAAAAGTATTCTCTGAAATATGAAGAATTTTACTGGAATTAATTTAGCTGCTATTGTACGCATACAGGATTGGCTTTAAGTTTCTGTGGTACCATTTCCACATAAACTTTCATTCTGATTAAAACAAAACAAATAAAACAAAAACAAAAAAACCCAAAATAGAAACAAAAGCTAAAAGCCGCTTTACAAATTTGGCTACACAAAGATGTTCACCACCTGTGGGATGAATTGGGCTGGTTATGACAGAGCAGGGACAACCTGTCTATATATTTTCAGCCAATATAATTCCTATAGATTTCCTTCTATTCCTTCAAGTTCCCCTCTCTACAGGTGTGGATTAGACTCTTGTGTCCAACTGTTCTATGAGTGATAGAGCTAAATGTAAATGACTAGTAAGGAGAACTAGGTTTCATCATAATCTCAGGAACAAAAGAAATGGCAAAATCACTGGTAATATTTGCTTGTTTGTTTAAAGAAAGTAGATTTGTCTTACAGTTATTGTTTGTTGTTATGTGTTGTCAAGACAATCACAATAGCTGTCAACCCTAGGGACAAGAGCTCTGAACTCTGCTCCATTCTAAGTCTATCTCACTATCTCTGATACATCTGCCCTCATTACCTCAGTAACTGCGTAAATCTATCCCATCCAGGGTCGTCTTCTCCTGCTCTGTCCCTCCAACCATCCAAACATGACCTTTTCCAAAGACTGTTTCATCCTAGATACATGCCTCAAAAATGTGAGATGATGTTACAAAAACCTGTCTATAACTAGCAGTTGAATTTCACCCTCTTCAGGAAAAACCTGTTAGTTCTCTTGGTAGTCCATGGCATGTTCAATGTTCTTCTCAAGCACCATAACTCAAAGATATCAATTCTTCTTCTGTCATCCTTAGTCACTGCCCAGCTCTCTGATGTATTGCAAGTAACTGTGAAGACCATTGCCTGGATCAAGCATACCTTAGTCTCTCGACTGACATCCTTGCTTTTACAATCACAAGCTCTTCTTCATCTATCAAAATGCTGCCAATTGGTCTAGTGGTGAGAATCTTCGTTTTCTTGATGTTGAAATTCAATTCATATTGCAAACTATAGTCGTAGCCTAGTGGTAACAATCTGTACTTCAATCTCTATGGTGTGTTGTTCGAATCCACAAGCTGCTCCATAGAAGAAGGATGCGCAATCTTTTCCTCTGTGATTACTGCCTCTACGAACTCACTGGAGGATCGATCTGCTATGGGTCAGTTCTGACTCGGTGATAAATAACAACACATTCTACAGCTGAATATTACAGCAGAATGGGAAAGATAGTAAAAGTTATGATTATCATAAAAGTCTGGAATGAGGTTGCAGAGCAGAGTATACTCGGGGTGGGGGTGTGTGTGTATGTGGGGATTGTATACCAATGAAGGAGTTTTTCTTTTGCTTTTCAAAATGAAGAGCAAACTGGGGGTGGGTATGGTGTGGGCAGGGAGAAAAGTGCAACAATGAATGAATGGAAATCCAAAATCTCTGTAGATGTTCATTGAAATTAATTTAAAAAAGATAAAGGTAAAATTTAAAAAAAACTAAAAAAATTGAAGTTAAACTTAAGAACATATAGTAAGTTTTATAAAGTATTTTAGAAGCAAACTATATTCACATTAATTTATAATATTCACCAATAATATATTTGAAAAGATATACATTAATTTATAATATTCGCCAATAATATATTTGAAAAGATATAACAAAATATAAAAAAATTAAGATTTACTTCAAAGATTAAAAATTAAACTGAAATATTACCATCATGGACTATTAGCCTTTTTCTTCAGTCGTTTGGCTTTTCAGTGTAAATGTGAAGTTTCTAGTCTATGTCTAGAAGAGTTGAATGCTACTATGATTCTGAACAAGTTTTACTGGATTGGCTCAATTAAATTGGACTGGAAAGAAAGCAGTCATTATCTCCTTATGAAAATCAGCCAATGACATAAAAATGTACAAAAAATGGTTTGTTATTTACAAGGAATCTTTAAGATTTTACAATAAAAGATGATTCCTTTTTTTTCATTACTTAACACATTGCTGAAAATGACAGCTATAAACATGTTTCTAAGCATTTCTAAGCACAGTCTCAATTTAAAAGCTTGAGGCAACATGTTAAAAGATCACTTAGAGTTCAGGCTAATGTACAACCAACAGCTAACAATAACAAAAAATCTCACATGGATGCATGATCAGTTTAATAAATTTGATGCCAATTCTAAATTATGCTTTACATCTCTACAATCACCATAACATTTGATGTAATCAATAACAGTGTCTGTTTATTACATATTCATTTAGCCATACATTTAACAAACACTGGCGCAAGTTTTAGTGCTGTTGTACATAGGGTCGCTATGAGTTGCAGGTGACTTGAAGGCACATAACAACAACAAGAACAACAAATTTAAATTCAGTATTGGCTAGTGTCTGTGATGTGCAATTAAAGAACAATTTTAGCAAATATAAGCGTGAAGATTTAGAAAACAAATTAATTGAGGCAATTACTCCTGAATACATGTAAGGATATTGAAACTTAAAAATATAATAGTATTTATTCTGTTCTTGGATTTACTAAAATAGTATGGTAAAGATGATACCTACATTATTCAGGTAACACAATTCTTTTTTAGCTGAGAAACCATTAAGATAAAGAAATTTTTCATATTCTTAAGTTCCATAAACATCGACGTAGGGATCCCAAAATATAAACTGAAGTAATTAAATTGTTATTCAAGTGAATATTGTTGTTCTTGATTACCTTCGAGTCGAGCATGACTCATAGTGACCCTATGAACAAAAGGCCTGAAGCCCCTCTACAACTATCAACATTTAGCAAAGTTCATAGAGTTTCCAGAGGCATGTTATTTAGGAAGTAGGTGCTCCTCCAGCTTCCCACAGGTGAATATAGAGAACTGAAAAACTCCTCTCATAATGGGGGGTGGGGGGGGATTTAAACATGTAGTAAAATAAACACAAGAAAACATTTGCCATTTTAATGATTTCTAGATAATTATCTGACATTGAGCATATTGATCATTTTGTACAATGGCTATCATTACCAATTTACAGTTAGCTATAACACAATTCATACAAACTCATTGTCTCCTAGACAAAACCTTTCACTTTATATCCCCACTCAAAAGTATGAATAATATTTGTTATATTTATATTTCTAATATAAATAAAGAAGATTATAAAATATTTTACTTTATACAGCTAAAATAATTTATATAGCATGAAGTTTCCAACTTTCCTCTATGTTGTGGTGTGTATCAGAGGTTGTTTTCCTTTATTACTGAAAAATATTTCACTGTGTTTACATATAATTTATCTATTGATGAACAATTAAACTGTTTGGATCTCAATACACTACTTTTTAAATACTAATTTTCTCAGTGCAGCCATAACATCCTTGTTTCTGAGACTGTATATCATGGGATTAAACATCGGAGTCACAATGGTGTAGAAGAGAGAGAGCAGCTTGTCTGTTCCGGCAGAATGTCTGGATTTAGGTCTCAAGTAGGCTATGGTAGCAGACCCAAAGAACAAAATCACCACCAGAAGGTGAGAAGAACAAGTGGAGAAGCCTTTTGCTTTTTCTGAGACTGTGCGTAGCTTCAGAATTGTGGAAATGATTTTGCTGTAGGAGATGATTATCAACACAAAAGGGACAGCAACAATCACCATAGCTTCTACATAGATAAACATCTCATGATGAGAAATGTCCCCACAGGCCAGTCTAATAACAGGGAGGGTGTCACAGAAGAAGTGGTTAATTTCAGTAGAATTGCAGAAATTTAGAGAGAAAATCTGAGCAGTGAGTCCCATCTGAACTGGAATTCCAATGGTCCATGAGCCGAGTGCTAGCTGGGTACAGATCTTTTGATTCATGACTAGAGGATAGTGCAGAGGGTTACAGATGGCCACATAGCGGTCGTAAGCCATCACCGCCAGGAGGAAACATTCTGTGGCTCCCAGCATAAGGAAGAAGTACATTTGGGTGGCACATTCAAGAAAAGAAATACTTCTATCCTGAGTCCAAAGATTGGCCAACATCCTGGGGAGAGTGACAGACACATAACATATTTCCAATAGGGAAAAATTTGCCAAGAAAAAATACATGGGTTTATGTAACGCAGGATCAAGTCTGGTTAATATTATTATAAGGCTATTTCCTATTATAATAATGATGTAAATAATGATGAACACTCCAAACAGAAACCCCTGGAGATTTGAAAGGTCAGAAAATCCCAGCAATACAAATGGTTTCACTGTAGAGACATTGCCTTCCGCTTTCTTCTTCATGGATGATGTAATCATAAACAGAAATTATTTCCATTTTAGCAATTTTTGTACTCTCACTTATAAGATAAAAATCATATACCTTTAATTTTTTCATTCCTTATAAGAACAAATCATCTCATATATAACAATATCTCTTACATGGTTGTCAGATATATTTTGAAGATATACAGATCAATAAAATTATTTAAAACAGTTTAAGACTTTCCTTTTTCTGAGAATGAGATTTCTGAATTTTAACTTTTCTATCATAAATTTAAGAGTGCAAGACTAAAATTATTTTCAATGAAAGTAATTATTTTTGTATTTGGCATGATTTTGCTTTTATTCTCTCAATTATTTTTACAAATGTATCAATTTCATTCAAAAAATTTACAATTGTATATCCTTTAAGTCATATATCATAGTTTCAAAACTTTTAGTTATTAGATTATTAATTTAATATTTCAGAAATGATTTTCATATATACATGAAGACATTTCATTCTAAAACATGATAATGAGTTAATTAGAAAATTTTACAGGCTAATGTTTAATTTTTAATCTATTTCTAAATTTTAACATAGGGTCTTTGAAATTAGAAGTGGTAATTTTTATTTACATATGTGTTTAGGAATAAGTTAGAATCAAAGTCTACCCTTTATGTTCAAGAAATTAATTTTGAAAAGAATATTTATTATTTTCTTGTTCATATACACCTTTCCCGTAATATGGAGATTACATACAATCCATCAAAGATATTTTTCTCATTTGTCCACATCCTCATGAATTGCCTTCTTTCTGCTGACCTCATTTGTGCTGGCCAGTGTTCTCTCTCGTACCACTGCATGTTATCACTCTTTAATGTGTTATACTATGCTGTCAACTCTTTACTATGAAATTTTCTTACCTTTTTGCATGCATTATAATCTCATAGAGTTAAAAAACATTTTCTTAAAATGTTGTCATTTTAGCTTTCTATGAAGATGGCGCTGAAAGCGAAGAAGGAAGCCCCTGCCCTTCCCAAAACTGAAGCCAAAGCAAAGGCATTGAAGGCCAAGAAGGCGTCCTGAAGGGCAACCACAGCCAAAAAAAAAGAAGATCCGCACGTCACCCATGTTCCGGCGGCCTAAGAAGCTGAGACTCTGACGGCAGCCCAAATACCCCCGGAAGAGCGCTCCCAGGAGAAACAAGCTTGACCACTATGCCATCATCAAATTTCCCCTGACCACTGAGTCAGCCATGAAGAAGATAGAAGATAACAACACACTTGTGTTCATTGTGGATGTCAAGGCCAGCAAGCACCAATTTAGCAAGCTGTAGAGAAGCTCTATGACATTGATGTGGCCAAGGTCAACACTTTGATTAGGCCTGATGGAGAGAAGAAGGCCTATGTTCGACTTGCTCCTGATTATGATGCTTTGGATGTTGCCAACAAAACTGGGATCATCTAAACTGAGTCCAGCGGGCTAATTCTAAATGTAATAAATTTTTCTCACCATAAACAAAAATGTTATTTTACTAAAACAGGTGATTTACTGATACCTATATAACTTCAATCAGAACAACAAATAAGGATGACAGAAGAATCTATGCCTTTGAGTTGGGGTAGAGGAGAAGATAACTGAAAACTATCAAAAGAACAGAGAAGTAAGTCTTAGAAAAAGTGAAGCACAATGCTTCTTGGAGAAAAGGATGAAGAAACTTCATCTCACATGCTTTGGGCATGTTGCTAGAAAGGCTTTTCCTTAGAAAGGGACATCATGCTTGGAAAGGTGGAGGGTCAGAAAAAGAGAAGAAGGCACCTAACAAGATGGATTGACACAATGAACACAGATATGGGCTCAAGTGTGTTAGAAGATGGCATAGGATGGGACAGGGTTCAGTGCTACTGTTCATAAGGTCATTATGAGTTGTACTCAATTAACAACACCTAATAACAAATAACAATACAACAATAACAAAAGCCAAATGTAACGGCTTTTTCACTTCTGTGGCGGATTACATAAGTAAAACAAATGTATTGAATCTTTAAGACAAATTGCAGGTATTTAACCAAAATTTGGCTTTGTTTCATCATTGTAAAGGATCTTTATAAAGACAAGAATGAAAAGGTTTTCTTTTATTTTCCTTTGTGTAAATATATTAAAGAATTATACTCATTTTGTTTACTCTTACAGAACTTACACTTCCATTGCTGGTAATATACTGCTAAGTAACTTCCACATTTTATAAGTATTAATTTGAAATTAAATACACCTTTTTGTTATTTGAGTTCTTAGTTGCCATTAAGTACATTCAAACTTTTAATCAGTTTCTTCAGAAGAGAGTTACTACATGGATTTTTTAAACGGGTTGGACATCTCCAGTCCTATCTTTTGAGACACTTCAAAGTGAACTCCATCTCTCACATGTTAGCTGTACTCCAGTAAGAACCTATTTACTTTTCTCAGGCATTTCACTAAAGATTAACTCCTGGTTAAAAAAAAAAAATTAAATAAAAGAAGTAACTCTTCTATCACTATACAGTAATAATTGTGAAACTTGTACAAGGGATGAAAGAGTTTTGTTCTGTTGAAGATGGGGCCTCTATGACTTATAAATTACTACATTGCACCTAACAACAATCTCAAAGATGGCAAATTGTTAGGAGTCAGTTTTGCCAAAAGGCATCATCCTGGAAAAGATTAACAGTCAGAGGAAATGAAGATTCTCTACAAACTGGATTGACATGATGGTAACAATGGACCTGAGTTATGGAAGAGATTGTGAGAATGGTTCCGTTTAGGGGAAAGTTCTGATTTGTCATTCATAGGATCATTCTGAGTTGTATTCTACTCGATAGCATGTAAAAACAAGAGTAGGTTTTTTTGTGGGGAAAGAAAGGTGAATAAACATTTCTTTGTTCTGTGCCGTCCAGTCAACTACAACTCAGAGTGACCCTGCGAACAATGATGGCTCTGAACCTTCCTCTACTCTGCGCCATCCTCACTATCTCCAACACACTTGAGATCAGTGTTACAGTCACTGTGTCACTCTAGCTTCGTGAGTGTTCTTCTCTCTTACACTGACATCTACCATATTCCAGACTAAATATGAACGCACTAAAGTTTTTCCACGATCATCTTCTGACACATTTCATGCAGTGAAAATTTGAATGAAAGGAATATTAATAGTGGAGTGATGAAATCTCATATGGTCAAAAGCTAGTGTCTAACATGTAATATAACCAAGATATGTTTTTAATTAGATTACATGATCCATATCTTCTTCCACAACATGATTAAATTTGCCTCTTTAATTCCATCTAGAGCCTAGTGCATGGAAAGTTACCAAAACTATTGAATTTTCTTTAACATCATATATCTTGTACTCACACTTAACTTGACTGAATACTTTTCTTGAAAACTCTGTCCTGTATAACATTTGATCTTTCTATAACTCTTCTCTCAATCTTTGACTCCATCTCTGCATTAGCCTCCACTAAGCAAGCACTATGTTGGAAAAGAAACCTGAAACTAAGGTAGAAAAAAGTATTTAATAAGAAAATGCAAACCTTAAAGTGAAACCAAGAATGTGCTAGTGTAAGTCTATGCAATCATTGCTTCTTTGTTTTTGCCTCAATTTGTCTATACTGAGTTTGAGAAGCTAGGATTCACAGATATAATACTTGTAAAAACTTAAAACACATGCTTCAAGTATGACATAAACCCATAACTATTAAAATTAGAATGATGTGAAATGATAATGATGGAGATGATAAACTTTGATGGTGGCACATTTTACTTTTAAGTGACTCATGATTTGTTTACATTTTATTTTAAAATAATGGATAGAAGAAAAGTACAATAGTCCTATGAACAATCTTGGAAATTGAGAGGGACAGAACTTTCCTTTTTCTAGAATTTAATTCTATCTGCTGATATTTAAAACAAAGATATACAAAAAACTAAATTTTATACTACATAGAAATAGTTCACTCTTACCTGGTTGATTATGATAAATTCCATGATTAGCTTTATTGATAGAGAAGCCAGATAATGATGAATGTACTATTTGCAATAGTTAAGTAATTTGTTTTTATTGAGAGGGTAACAAATGATATTTATAAATTTTTAAGGATAAAATGCTTTATCCTTTCAGAACAAATGACACTTTTAAAATAGAAAATGGCCAATGCCCTGGGGGTTAACTGTTTTCCCAGGTTACCTTCTCATTTAACGAAATCATTTTCCCTGTCACTCAAGAAATTCTTACAAAAGCAAAACTTGCTTGCTGAACTTGTATTGTGTTCTCTATAAATCTATAGATTGCTTTAGGTAACACTGATCTCTTCACAACATTGAGTCTTATAACAAAGGTAGTTGTATATATGACCCTATGTACAACAACTCTGAACCCTTCCCTGCCCTGAGCCAGTCTCACTAATTGTGACACACCACCCCTCATTGTCCCAGATACTGTCTCAATCCATCTCATCTGGGGTCTTTCTCTCCTGTGCTATCCTTCTACTCTTCCGAGAATGATGTCCTTCTCCAAAGATTGTTTCTTCCTGGCTACATGCCAGGATGTGAGACAGAGCTTCAAAATCCTTGCCTCCAAGGTGAAACTTGGTTTCACCCTCTCCAAGACAGACCTATTTGTTTTCTTGGCAATCCATGGTATGTTCAAGGCTCTTCTCCAGCACCACAACCTGAAGGCATAATGACAATAAGAAGTAAATGATCATTTACGTTACAAAGAAAGATAATAGAGTCAATTGCATTTACTTCTTGTCATTATTTGATGTTGAATCGATCACACTTCATATTTACCCTATGAGCAATCTCACCCTTCCTGGTCATCTTCACAATCACTGATATGCTCAAGCCATTGTTTCAGGTCTTTCTTGATGTACACTGATAATTTTTCTAATCAGCAGAAAACTGCCAGAAGTCCAGGCTGGGTTTAGAAGGGGTCGTGGTACTAGGGATAGTGTAGCTGATGTTAGATGGATCTTAGCTGAAAGCAGAGAATACCAGAAGA